TAAATCTGTTTTTGTAATAGATTTTTACATTTGAATTCAACGGATCTCTCAAAATTGAACATCGGAACTCAGAATAAAAAATATTGTGCATTTTACAACTAACACCAAATCAATGCCATGTTTTAATTGACCTATTCCTCTTGTGTGCCGATTTTTATCTGTTATCATATGCTATCTGTTATGGTATGATAGTATGGTTGATTTGATTTCAAAACCCCTTCCAGTTAAAAAAAAATGCTTCTCATTATAAAAGTATAACTTTTTGAGATTATTCTGTTATCATATATTCACACTTTCCCGTGAATATGTACTGCAATTACTAGTGTGTGAATATTCTTGATACAAGAGCCCTCACTGTTTTAGCCAATCATTTTTTCAGGTAGTTAATATTTTAATTTCGTTTGGATATAATTTATCAAAAAGGCAGGTGACCAAATAGCTTGAAATATTCTGATCCAATGATTTGTATCTTCCACAGTTGAACCCTGTGCTATATTCCTATAAACTAAGATAACGTAATTGACATAATATCTTGACTCAAAATAAAATAACTCCTATGTACCAGGTTATTAAATTACCTTGCAGGATTTCCACAATATCCACGTGAATAAAATTACAGTTCTCTGCTCGTGAAGATTCTCGGTACAAGCTCCATCGTCACTCCGCATCAAAGAAAGTCTCGCGTAGCGCAAAGAAAGCTACAAATTACAGCTTCAGTAACTCAGAAAGTGAAGCTTGGCCTCCGTTCCTCGGGCTATTTGCTGATTGGAACAACCAAAGTCCTGTCCAACGCGGTCAGAAATTTTCGCTGAAAAATACCTTAAAAATCCGGTCCCTAAGAAACGTAACTTGGGGAACATTTTTCAACTTAGAATTTTGCTAGTGCCAGAAAATTTATCCACCATTCTGAAATGAGGTGAATTTTTAATCTGCTTTCTTCAAGGCCATTCAAAAAATTCTCGTTCTAATTCAGTCGTTTTGTCTCGGAATATATTCTATTGGAGCTTTTGACGACATGAGCATTAATACCAATAAATAATATATTTATTTTTAGCCACAAATATTTTTCATTTGCCATCTAGTACTAGTACCGGCTTCACATTGACACAGTCTCTGTTCTTGTATTTTCCTCATGTAAGTCATACACTGTTTTGTACGGGCATCCCGACCGCCTTATTGTTTCTGATGGATGACTGAAGGCAGTAATATTATCATTAGATGCATGACGAGGAGCTGTAATATTCTTATTAGATGTCATGAAATGATAAGGGGTCTGCGTACAGCACATCAGCCACCGTGACAAATTGCCGCTCCCTCACAAAAGGAAAATTGGGTTCACGGACTGGATAGTTGCGCTCTGTTCACAGGAAGACTTGCTGTGTGAAATTGCACTACCGAAACCTTCAGCAGAAATCCCAATTTCAATGCTGACTCTGCTTTTTTTCAATTGTATAGCAGATATGGGGATTTGGAAATAACTAACCGACATTAAAATAAGTATTTTTAATGGATTTTTGGTTTTCCTCTTGTTTAAGGCTAAGGTCCAGTTCCAATCTTGGTATGGAAAAAATATTCGTTATCACTAAGAAAATGTTTACTACTTAGTTGCCACCAAACAAAAATGTATGCAATTTCTTGAAACTTAATGATGGAGTTGGTGTATCGTTTTAACATCGATAAACATCAATTTAATTAAGTGAGTGATGGAAGGGCAAAGTTTTACCCTTGAAATCCAGCAACCGCTTGTAGAGCAAAACATTTATACAGTAGCATATTACCAAAATTTCACTATTATTCTTCCCTGCAAAAACTGTGGGTAAAGTAAGAGATCCTAGGCAATGGTGAGTCATATTTCTTACTGCGTATCGGTGCTGTCGCGACGCTGTACAATTGCAGGAGTAGCGGCTGGGCGCTCGTGATAGGCTATTATACGGCGCTATGAGATCATGCATCATCGCAGCTCCCGTTCTCGTCGCCGCTTACTAAAATGAACTTGGTGCAATGTTATAAGAATATATAATGTATAAAGTGTATGAATGCGTTGCTGGACTTCGAAATTAACTTTAAATTGGCAAATTAAAGACGGTCAGATGCTATGAAGTATCGTTTGGTTCGTCCTCAACTGAAGAGTGTGAACACTCGAAGAAAATCATTGAAGGGTATGAAATAGTCATATATGTTTGTCAAGTCGTATTTATCGATCTTTTGAATTTTTATCAATAGTATAATTAAGCAACTGTCAAACTGGCTGTTGAATGAGACAATTACCCTTCACTGTAGAGCATAAAATACATGCGAGCACCAAGTTTTAAATAGAGTTCATCACAGTATCTTAACGAGGCTCGAGAACTGTCTCAAGTTTAACCCTCAATTCATATATTTTCAAACTCCTTGTGATGGACGGCAAAGTTGAATTTTTGCACACAAAAGTGTAATTCGTTCTCTAATATCCTGGATAAAACAGGGAAACGTGAGATGCAAACTAATTCAATTTTTTTCTAGACCCAACAATTTTTATGTTCCGCAATTCTTGAAGGACGTTCTACTTTTTGAGTCATTTTTGGGCAAGTGTTTCAGAATTGAGTGAGCGCAGCTAATTGTAGGTGTTCCCAAGTTGAGCCGAAGTGGAGAAGAAGATCAGCGTTGTAAGTTTGCAAGCCTAATTACACTTCCAGTTTGGAAATTTTTTATGCCATTGTAATTGGGTGGGAACACGAAAGTCTGTCCGACCGTACCTCAAAAGAGGCGTTGTAAGAATGCCGACACCGGCAGGCTTCCGTAGCGCCAATTATTGTGGATTACCTTCTGGTGCGATCAAGCAGAAGGAGATAAAAAAGAGCTCTTTGCAAAGTAATTTTCATATTCATAGGATAGAGGGTTCATCATATGACGTTATTCCGACTTTGGGCGACTGTGATCGATCTTAACCATTATTGGCAACTATTAACATAGTATAAGTAAATTTTACTTTTGTAGTTCTGAATTTAATGAGTACGCCTATCTTAACGGTATGGTTTTACTTGATAAATGTCGGTTCGAAACCACTATTTAACTCATTATTTCTTAGATAAAAAATAAAATTGGCGGCTTATTTCTACTTAGAAGTGTTAGTTTTAGTTCATATAGCTAGCAAACTATTTAACTCTTGCAGGCTTTTTAATTTGTGCCACTTTGACGAACAAAGCGGGAGCAAACTTTATGGCTAAATTCGCAAAATTTATACCCAGATATAAATTTGTTTATATTATACTTGAAAATTAGGGATATAACAGAATATCTCTCAAACTTTTTCTAATTTCATGTGACATTAAAGCTTCAACTTCAAATCAATTAGAATTGTGATGCCAAAGGAGGAGAAATGAAATAATTACGTGTGTGCTCCATTTTGAGTCGTCATTTATTATAAACAACCGTTCATTTTGTACACTTCACTTACTTAACATTTACAACTACACAACACACTGTATAAATTCGCTGCCGGGTTATGATGTTTTTTTTTAATTTGACAACCCTTGTGCAGACCATGATTTATGTAATGGCTCAAGCAGTCTAAAATTATTAAGCAATATTTATATAACCTATATGCATATTATTTTGAAGTTGAATAACAGAAATGATATTCGCTTCGGAAATTCTAACTGAAAATATTTTCCGTTACGGAAATTTAAAAACACCATTTAAATTAATTTTTGAGATTTGTGAGTATATTAATTACATACTTTTCGACATATACAGTGACACAGCCGCTTAAGTCTGTTCAAATTTCAAATGTTGTCAGTCTTAATCGCATGATTAAAAATATTAACAAGCAAATGCCGAACCCAAATTGAAAGTTATCAAAATATATTATTGTAAAAAATGCTGTTAATATTTTCCCACTGGCATTCAGTAGGCAAGCCTCAATAACGCTCTTGTACGTAAGATGTACGCCTTTTGTAGAACTGGGCCTATACTTTCAAAAAAAGTTAAGAGATCGAAAGTTCATCAGCCAATCATTGACGGCCTTTCAAGCAAAATCCACCAATCATAGACAAGTAAATAGAGCGTAAGTACTTACGTTCACTTAGTGAGTTTTGAAAGTAGGGGCGTAAGTTCATATTACCCAGAACCTCCTGCAAAAACATATTTGCATAGAAAAAGTATCAAAAGCATAGTAAAGCTATGAAGAACATTTTATATTTGTTAACTAGTATATTTATGTGAGCTCATGAATGGAGAAGTTTCATGACAAGCATTTAACTTCTTTACTGCGAATATATTTATAAAAATGGGACGATTTCGTTATCTAGAGACTGTGGTCGATTTTTTTTAGTTAGGAGCAAGTCTGTATATGACATGGTGGCCTCTTCATTGACCGCTGAATATTAATTGTTCAGCACTTTCAAGGGCATTCTTACCTTGATAGTTTCTTGGCAATGAAGAAAAATATGTACTTGGGCCAATTTGGTACAAGGAAACGGAACGGAAAAAGCTAATGTGACATAATATTTTAATAGATGATGTACAATTTTTGGCTGTTAAACCCAAAATTAATTTAATGAAAAGGTGTTTCTTGAAATACCTTTTCCACCTTATCTATTCAATTTTGTCTAGAACGTTAGAGAAGTCATAATTGTTCAATATGAAATCTTACTATTTTAGTAATTATTAAGGAAAAAATTAATATATCAGACACGTGGAAGATATTATTTTACTTAAAGTATTTTTTCTTGCAGATTTACATGTTGAAGCAAATGCCTGTTATCTTCTCAATAGTCAGAACTGTTCAATTTGATTCGTCATATTTCTCATCTGAAACCAACAAGAAGAAAAATTTCATTTTTTCACATAAAAAATTATTCACATTCAAAGGAGAAAGTTTTAAAGCTACGAATCGAGAGTTATTCTGGTTTCCAATACTTTTCTTTGATCATTTCTACCAATAATTAATATTATTCAAATCTCTTTGCCATATGTTTCTAAAATATTCTTTCGCTGCGCCTTCATTTGTACATAAAAAACATAATTATTGAAAAGATTTTTTTAGATATTTATAAATGGCTTTGGAATATTTACTACATTCCATTTTAGTGCCTATTTGCACATAAAACAATCTATTTAACAATATATATCCTAAATTGTATCTAACATGTATTAATTAGAGACCTAGAAACTCGGTCATTTACAAAAATTGTGGTCCGCTGCACAAACGCCCCCTGGAGAGGCGAGAAAAATTCGACCTCCGCTGCATACGCAAACCTGTACGAAAAAAAATATTTCGTGATTCCGCTGCTAAAAACATAGCATTAATTTATTTATTTATTCAAAAAATTCACAAGCAAAATTTCTTACACCAAGGAAAAAGTTTGGCGAGTATTTTCACATGTTCGGACGAACTGTCGGCCGTTTTTCCATTCGCAAAAATAATGTTGATAAAAAAATTTGCGGAATTGCTATGAACAACGCATAAAATATCGAAAAAAATTTCTGCGAAATTATTTAATTCAGAATTTTAATCAATAAAGTTTATTGATACCACTAAGTAAAGCGACATTGCGACTGGAGATTTCTAGACATGGAATAAATCCCACATCGGAGTATTGTAGATGTTCAGGCTTAAACTGTATTTATTCTTCGAATGAATGGGCTTTCTCTGAATATATGTGTCGTGAATGCATTATCAATTAGAATTTGAATTGTAAAAATGTTTTGAGAGTTTTAGAATCGAGATTAGAGACTGCGAATAGGAAAGGGGGATTACGAACGTAGACTTGAATGCGACATTACGTATCTCATGAAGCGTATTCTAGTAGGCAAAAGATAAATTGTTGTCCGTTTGCCAAGTTCAACTGAAGTTATTTGCCTTAATCCCGTTTTCAAGTTTAAAAAGCGTCAATGTGATTTTTGGGCAACGAAGGTTTTAAAGTGTCTCTTGATTTTCTAAATCACATAATTTTAACCTGTACGTGGGCTGCCTCCGTACTCTAGACAGTATAAATTAACATAGCCAATACGAAAATAAATAACTTGACCATTTGTTATTGTAAGCCAACGGATTATAGCCAGAAATAATGAACAAAGTAAGTACTATACTAAAAAGCTCGCAGATATGAACTCTGGAGATGTGTTTTTTTAGACGAAACTGAATTAAATTAAGGAGTATTTAAAGATTTGTCGGTTTTGGGCTTAATAAATATATTCTGTTTAGTTTTGATGGCACATTCAAATCCAAAGTCTGATTATTGCCATTGGCAGGAATAGGTTTCTTGAAATGAGATAGCAACCCAACTCTCCGCAACTAACGTGAACCTCTTGCCTGGGTGTTGGGTTTTCTTTCAATCTGTCAGATATGAATACATACATGTGTTCAATACCTATTGTGAGTGATCGGCACACTCACTTGGTACACATCTGGTCCCACCAGATCTGGGTCGAAATTTTGAACAGTACTTGTCGGTAGGCCGCGTACCACCACTTTGCTGGTTGCAAGTTTGATCTGAAGACAAGGAAGTAAAACATCTTTAACTTTTTAGCGCATTTTTTCGTTTATGGAAAAAATGCCCTATTATACTCGTCATGTCCGTCTGTCCGTCCGCCTGTCCGTGACTTCACGTTTTCGTCGATTTTGAGAAAATGCGCTCGCTGTCACTCACTGCAGTGAGTACTGAGTTATATTTTTTATTTTTTCTAGTCAACTAATTATAGTTCAACCCTCGGCTAGCAGCATTTTCACAAGTCGACTCCAATTTTCCTGTCAGGTCATCCGACTACTCCTGTTCAACCCATTCTACTTATACTATTCCGGTCATATCACTTCCACAGGTCACCTCATATCGAGTGCCAACAGCGAACGCTAGATGCAAGTCTAAAAATATATAGTACTTATGAAACCTCACGTACCTATTTATCTAGAATGCAGGCAGCTACAATATGTTTGATCCGATATCAGGCATAGACCTCAATTAAGGAAAATCTTGACCAACCAACCTGTGAGATTTATCATAATTAAATATAGAAATTACGAATAATTGTCTGACTTTAAAAGTTTCTTGCACGCACATATGATAAGACTCGTTTTCGACTCACCATGCACACACATGATATGATAGGACTCGTTTTCGACTTACCATGCACACACATGATGTGATAGGACTCGTTTTCAACTTACCATGCACTCACATGATGTGATAGGACTCGTTTTCGACTTACCATGCACACACATGATATGATAGGACTCTTTTTCGACTTACCACCCCACCAGTAGACTGCAGGGTAAGGTCCCCCAAGCAGTGGGCGGAGATGCCCCCAGCGCGACTCTCGACCGTGACGCCCTGAGGAGCCGCCACCTCCAGCGCCCGCGTCGTGGACTCCAGCAGCAGCGACTTGCCCACCGGCGCCGACACGTGGCTGGTCTGCACCGAGCCGCTGAACGCTGCGCCGCCTTCGCCTTGTGCCATGAAAAATATGAAGAATGATGGATTTTTAGCGCATTTTCTCATTTATAGAAAAAATGCCATATTGTGCTCGTCATGTCCGTCCGTCCGTCCGTCCGTCTGTCTGTCCGTCTGTCTGTCCGTCTGTCCATGACTTCACGTTTTCGTCGACGAGAAATTGCGCTCTCTGTCACTCACTGCAGTGAGTACTGAGTTATATTTTCTATTTATTTAATGATTCAGCAGTAAAGCATAGAATTCATAAATATTCCGTAATAGCTCAGATGTGAGGTGTCGATACTTCAGTCAATTGATCTGAACCTGACCGCTGAATTCTGCGTTGCTTTCTTCTTATGACATGGAACATATGGAAATTTTTATATTTTATAAATGATTCAGCAGTAAAACATATAATTCAGGAAAATTCTGCATAAGCTTTAAGAGAAGCTCACCGATACATGACCCAATTGATCTATACTGTTGAACGAGGCAACACTTCCACCTTATTGCATGGAAAATATGGAGAATTTTACCTTTTACGAATGATTCAGCAACAAAAAATGAAATTGCCGGGAAATTTGCAAAAACTACGAGATAAATTCGCCTATTCATGATGCAATTGCTCTTACGCAGAACGCAGAACTTCGCGTCACCCTAGCCTCATGCTAGAACATTTAAAGAATTTATAAGAATTCTGGGATAATAATTGCATGGCGATCCGTTGAAGTCATTAATTTTCAGCAAAAGGTCTTGATGGATCGGAAGTGCTGTGCGCCGCCTAAATTTTGTGGAACGGAAAAATTATCATTATTTTTTTCATAAAGATGATATCTGTTTTACCAGGAAATACAAATTTGTCAATTTGTGCAAAAAATCATAAGAAAGTGAATTTCAATATAAGCATACGAAAACGTGACTTTCCATGAAAACACATACACAAGCCAACCGTGATAATATCAATATCAATAAAATCTCTACACCGGATAATATCAATAAATTAATATACTTAAAATTATTATAAATATATACTATATACATACATTTGAATATCTATACTATAAACATAAATATATATACAAATTTATACTATATAGTTATTTTTCGGCACTAACGCTCACAAATATGTAAATATGACTAGATTCAGGGCTAATAATGTCAATTAATAAGAAGCCAGAACACTTCAATACTGAATTTGAACGATCTAACATAAAAAATTGACGCTCGACCCCTTCTTTAAAAAAACATTTCGTATTTAATTGAAACAATAGAGAAAACATGCTGATGAAAGGTAGTTAAATCAATATAATTAATTTTAGTTTAGCGACCAAATGGAAGAAAGAGCAAGAGCGAGGCCGTTTGGCCGTAATGGCCTCCAGGACCCTCGGCCAGCTTACGAGTCTTGAGCGAAAGCCCCACTCAAAGGCGCGATGTTCTCGCATTTTTCACAGCGAAGCGACGATGAAGCGATAGTGAAGCGCCAAAACATCCTTTAAAGAAGACCTCGACCCTACAGGACCTCTAGCTTAACTTTTAATCGGAAAACTAAAGATTAAACCTTAAGAAAATAAGGGAACGTTCGACATTTGTATTTAGCGTGAAGTGGTTTGACAACAGTTCAGATAAGATGAAAGTGTTTATGTAGCTCACGCTACCATACTTTCTGCGCGACAACCACTCGAAGGGCCGAAGAACAAGAAACTTTTGCTATGAATAATAAATATTTAAGCTCTTAACCTAAACTTTTGCTAAGTTTTTAACCAAGCATATAAGTAAGTTATTAACCTAAACTATTACTAAGTTATTAACCTAAATTATTACTAAGTAAGTTCTTAACCTTAACTATTATTATATTTTAGATTACATAATTCAACCATTCTGGAGGCCACTGACATTCTAGAGGTGAGGAGATCACGATTCAGGCGATAATTTATTTGCTATAATTTGGTCATTTTAGAGTTGTACACAATTAACTGTCAGGTCACATTTACATATTCGAGTTCTAGCGATGATAATAACGTTGACCAGTTCAACATGCCACCTTTCTGGTGAATGCGTTAAGGCCATTTTTGCACATTGCTTGGCATTAATTAACGGATCAAATTTAATTAATCTTATGATTACTGTCGTGCAGTTTCATTGTTTTGAACTATGAATAACATTCAAAGCTCATTTACTTTCCATTTTGGTCTCAGGGAGTTAGCATTGTTAAATCGCTGGAATATTTTTTTATGTCGTGAAGGTATATAACACAACGCTTCAACGATCGCAATACAATGAAGAATAAATAGCAACCAGTCGGAAATTATTAGCTTAATTGTTAAATGTGGAATGTTTTGAACTTATTGTGTTTTTTACTTTTACTTTTAATTGCCTGATAGACTTTATCTTGTATCAAGTCGTTTCGGAAGCGCCCAAACCATAGTTGTATGTTTTTTTATGGTTTTATGTTCGTTTTTTAGCACTTTTTATATAGTTTTGCACATTTCTTTATTCTGTGACCTGAATCTCGTTCTCATTTGACGCTAAATTGAAAAGCTCATTTCAACCGATGCAGAAATTTTAACCTACAAGAACTAATTTTGCTCGCAAAAAATCAAGCTTCACATAATTTAGCAGCTGACTGACGAATAAGGTTCTTAATATACTTCTACGAAAGTGAACTTCTTTCTGTCAATATCGCATCGATTGCTAAGTTTCTTTTAGACACCATTGTGGAAAAAATCATATTCGATCCTGGATATAATTCACAATTGAATCACTCTTCTTCATTTCAATAAAAGCAAATCACTTGTGAAAAAAATTAACTGGAATTAAAGTGATATATTTCAGAGAAGTAATGTTTCCTTTGGCAAACGGAATAGTTTTATTTTGAAATTTCCATAAGAAAACTAATTTAATAACAAACGTACTGGAAAGGGTTCAAATTTTTCAATATAAACACGCGTAAACAGTCTACTAATGCATCTTCTAGGACATCTGCATACGTACCTTATACTATCTGCGATTATGCACGTTTTACCAATAATTCATTTATGAAAATATGGTGAACTGTTCACGAACTCAAGGCACATACATTTGCATGCAATGTAGGGGCTTCTTGAAGTGTATTATTGTCAGGCGACGACAACATGTTTGTCTCACCCAAACAATTCGATTAAAAATCCGACGAGGCATTGCAAGGCTGCCTTTGAATTGCCATAATATTGGAGTCCTCATAATGCATTGGAGGAAATCCGCCTTATGGGGTTAATTGTGGCTACAATGTCTTGTTTACTGTGTTGTTACTCTGAAATTGGGATCGTGAGGTACTATTGGATTAATTAATTATGTCTAGGACGTCAATTACCATGAAGGAAATCATAAAATACGGCAATCCAGAAAATAAATTCCTGACCGATCATGTACTTTTTTTCTCTATGAATGACTAAACGTAGATTTAATAGTGAAATCCAGTATCCATTCGAATATATGGTTTAAAATGAATATATGACTTAAAATGCAATCAGTAGCTAATAATTGGTAGTAACTTTTAGAATTGGAATGTTATACAATGAAGGTGCTTTCAAAGGCGATACGGAATAAATGCTAATTTGTACCTTTCACATCAAAATTTTAAACGTTTTTCAAACTTCACGCTTAAAACGAATGGAATGTTTGAAAGGAAAATTGAATGCCTGATAAGCTCATTTGCATAAATATAACTATATTCCAACGCTCGACATAAAATTTTTCGTAACTAGATTTTAATCTTGAAAAAAAAATCTATCGCAAAATGATTTGAAGAAGCGCTTACTTGAAGTTATAGATGCAGTATGACCACGTCAAAAGTATAAAAAAAAAATAAGTAAAAATATAAATATCCCACCTATTTGAGTGAGATTATCGCTCAGTAATGGAATCGAACTAATGTTTATAAATAGGTGATTTCCATATTTGAATTATTCCATTTTATGATAAGAGTTTTCCACACTTAAGTTTTCATCATTTCTTGGGTTATTTCATTCCATGTTAAGATTCTATTGAGTGAGGACAGCGACACTGCACAACGCAAATGTAAACAACCAAATTGTAAAATACGTATGTAAAACACCAGTGCACGTTCCATGAGCCTCAACACCATGCATGACAACACTATATTTATTTAAGCGAGTGAAAGAGACGTTGTTCCCCAAGCAGTTTCTTAATAAATTTTTCGTCCTGGTATGATCCCTACAAACTCGTCCATCGGCCAACTAAGGGGAATATTTTTCCGTCATAATACCAGAATAAGACATTTTGTCGCGATATTTCAATTGATCTCCAAAATCTCAACTCAATATACTCATACCAATTTTACACACTATGAACATATAATATAGTATATAAAATTATTTTTAGTACATACTAGTAAATATAATTATACTGTATTTAATTATACACTCCTAGAATATTTATACGAGTATATACCCAGTAGAAATTTACAGACGCGGCAGCTTCTGATTTGGATTACCAGAAGCTGGGGCGACTCTAAATTTTGTAAGAGTATCACCCGTGACTCACCGGCGACCACCAGCCTGCGGGCCCCCACCACCACTTCGTCTCTGGACGCCGAGAAGAGAAGGTGTCCGCGCGGGTCTCTCACGACCAAGGCGTCCGTGATGCACGACAATTTGTCCGCTCCTGCCGCATGTGAAGAATTCCATCAGGAATAATCTCTAAAGTCTCTTCTGTGTATAATACTAGAAATTATTCAACTGATATTTCGGTTGTTATGGTACATTTAACTAGACACTAGAAATTATTCAATTGATATTTTGGTTGTTATGGTATATTTGACTAGACACTAGAAATTATTCAATTAATATTTCGGTTGTTATGGTACATTTAACTAGACACTAGAAATTATTCAATTGATATTTCGGTTGTTATGGTATATTTAACTAGACACTAGAAATTATTCAATTTATATTTCGGTTGTTATGATATGCTCAACTAGAGACTTATTCAAACTTATTTTCTTATCAAATCAGAGACTTATCAAATTATTCAATTGATATTTTGGTTGTTATGGGATATGTAACTCAATTGGTTGAAAATTTAAGCGATCTACATGAGGAAAGCTACATAGATAACTTTCAATTATGTTTATTTGTATAAGTTCCCAAATTTTCATAAAGTCTAAATATTACTAAATATTACTAAATACTAAATAAATATATTTAGTCTATTCTGGTACGGCATGCCCTTAACCACAGACTCCGAAGCTTCAAACATAAACATTTGTTTTAAAATAATTTCATCTGCGTAACATCACAGCATTTTCGTATAATTGTTTTCTAGACAACTTCAATTTTCACGAATGTAAATCTGTCTCGATCAATCCAAATAAGTAATGGGGCCATCGCACATCGTTCATTATTCATGTACACAGCAGTATCCATCATAGGTCAGTGAATCATCATAAGCATGAGCAGCAACAGCCTGAGCACAAGCATGAGCAGCAACAGCCTGAGCACATGCATGAGCAGCAACAGCCTGAGCACAAGCATGAGCAGCAACAGCCCGAGCACAAGCATGAGCAGCAACAGCCCGAGCACATGCATGAGCAGCAACAGCCTGAGCACATGCATGAGCAGCAACATGAGTAGTAGACTCAATGATGGAATAAGCATGCATAGCAGCATAATTTAGAAGCAACATGAGCTGCATCAAGACAGCAAAATGAGTATTAGAATCATGAGTAAAACCTGCACAAAAAACAGCAGCATGAACAGAAGCAGGAAGAAGAGCAGCTACTGCAGCAGTATAAGCAACAAGAAAAGCAGTAGCAGCATGAGTAGAAGCCGGAAGAAAAGCAGCAACTGCAGCAGTATAAGCAACAAGAAAAGCAGCAGCACGAGCATAAGCAGCAACAGGAGCGGCGCGTCTTAGTCTTGTTAGTCAGGAATATATTGGAAGCGGCGGGTAATGAAGTGCCTGTTAGCGGCGCCACCCTGCGTTGCATGTGGGGAACACGTCGAGCTTGCCAAGCACCAAAAATTGAAAATCAAAAATATGCAAGTAAATACATTAGTGTACTTTTGAATTTAAAATTTGTAATATAATATATGCCTAACGAATTGTGTCATGAAAATCGAACAAAGTATGTTTCTTATTAAACAGTAAGTTCTTTGAATAATGCACCACTGAAGGCTTTGGATGAAACATTTCTACTATCGAAACATCAGATATCTAGCGGGTAATAATAAGTTGAGTCGCGTATAATGACAGATTTCATTTTATGACTAACAAACGCTTTTATATTCGAATTCTGATTCTGATTCTAATTAAAATTCAGATATAATTCTGAGAAGGAACTTCTTAAATGAGATTTTATATACCAATCAAATTGCTTGTCTCAGTCCTTTAAATAATATTTTCTAATTATCGACGCTATTTAAACGCTTACTCTTCCTTTTTTTTCAGCACAGACAAGCAGGCAAAACACTCGCTAAATTCTGCTTATGCAATAAACTTATATTGATTTTTATCAATAGAAAACTTTTTTTGCTCGCATGTGATACTTATAAATGACGGATACTTGAGGCATGTGATACTTATGCGACGGATTTGAACTTTAATTTCTCCAATGACAACTGCAGCTCAGAGGTCACGGTTGTAAAGAAATTAACGAGAAAACCTTGAATTTCATAGATTTAGTCAACCTTAAATTACAGCATGATCAGTCCACAAAGAGCATGTAACATAGGAGCTGCAATTTATCTTTTGAATGAAATTCGGTAATAGTTCGCGCTCTCTAATTTCATGCACGGGATATTTTTGTCAAGCTAAACTGAATAGCACTCCCCAGGTCCAGATAAGTCTTTTCTCGCAGCTTGGTCAAAAATCGACATTAAATGCACTTTAAACGTCAACAATTAATGAATCTTATTTAATGATGTATTAATGATGAATCTGACTCACCCAGCATCATAGAGCTACGAACGTTGCTGTTCTCGTCCAGCGCTGCTATGGTCACGTTATCGGCGGCCAGTAACGTTAGTGGCAGGTGGCGTCTGGAGGACAGATGCGTGGCTACAAGAGTGTCCATCATGTGGACGGGAGACGTGGCCACTAGACCGCCTTTCACTATTTGAAGTGCACCTAAACCTGTCTGCAAATAAAGTGAGCATAAAAGTTCAAACATTCACAACTAAACTCAATTTTTTCGACGATTGTTTCATAAATATTTTTTCCTGACTAATGGATTTAATTAGCAAATACTGATATCTCAAATAATTGTCGTCTTCCTTCTAGCTTCTTTCATTTTAATTTTAACATTTCATGCTCGTAGAAAACAAACTTTCGGAGCCTGTTCCATTAAACTTTCCAGGTATAATATAACTCATTAAATAATATTGCGTGTTAAAGTTAGCATCCAAATGTAAGTTAGTGACGCAATTTTCATGAAACTCTTTAGATAACTGGAATTGAATCATCTGTGTTCTATTCCATTTTGGTTTTGGAACTTCGGCTTTACATTTGTTAAATTCCGAAGAATGGGCATCAGGTCGATGAATGGAAACATAATGCAACATCCTAATGTAATCCTAAATGGCAAATCATCGATGTCTAATCCCCACCAGATAAAATTCTTCGTTAAAAGTCGGCTGTCTATTAAACTGATACTCATAAAACCTCAATTTCCATAAGGGGTCTCTTTGCTAAGCGCTGCGACAATCCAAATGAAAACAAATTGGCAGAACAAATTTGTAGACTCGCTCCGTAGTCCGGCAGTGGCCCTGGCAGTAACCTATTGAGTCAATTGTTGTCCATGTCTATTGCAAAATACATGCACCCTTAATCCGATTAAGTGAATATTTTGGCGGCTACAGCTTTGTCGGATTTGCCTTTAGGTGCCAGCGGGGCCGTGACACAAACAATGGGTATTGTCAGTGGGAGGTCACAGCACGTGAAATCTAGGATCAAATAAAGAGATCTGGGATCAGTTAAAGGATCTGGATGGGGTCCTGCACCTACATGGTGATGGTTGAACCGCTCGAGTCGCGAAGAGAATTATTAAAAGTGAGGCGATGAGTCGTGTACAGATTTGGGATTGTGGTTGTAAATTAAATTGGCCTGGGAACCTGCGCAGTTGATGTAAACCACGAACGATTTAGAAACAAGGGGTGTGAATCTATAAAGTTTCTAATAGCTTATCATTGTTGATTTCAAAAACGAATACTTATAAGACACAAGCTAGCACTTGAAATGTTTCCCAAAAAAGTTCTATATAAATGTAATTTAATTACTCTGTACTCAGTAGACAATTTTATAGGCTCCGAAATCAAGAAAGTTTCTAAATTATCAGTGATTCTACAATGAAACTAATGAATAAAATCTTGTAATATTTCAACACCATGACCTAAATTCTCAATTTTTAAATGACAGTTTCACGAGATTAAATTCAGTAATTTTTTCTCTTACGAATCACGAAAACGATGAGAAAGCTATTTTTAGGCTTGAATTATTCAAGATTTGATTCAAACATAATCAGAATAGATCTGACGCCCTAGATAAAAATTTCAGATATACGTAAAGAAACTGTTTCCAATAATGTCAAATGCTTTTTGAATAGTAGTTACCGCGCTAAATGAAAATTGGTAACAAATAAATAAATTAGTCTTAATGCATAAATTTAAATAACAATTTATCATTCAACTTCTATGCTCATTGAATACAATGTAAAATTCAAACTGGATTGTCTAACTGTGTTTGTTTAATCTTCTAACTTGCAGCACAAAATCGACCCGAACGCGGAACAATTTCACAGTCAACATCAATGTTCCTTGAATACAATGTAAAATTTAAACTGGATTGTCTAACTGTGTTTGTCTAATCTTCTAACTTGCTGCACAAAATCGTGAAAATCAATTAACTCACCGTAGAAAAATCCAAGACCCTCATGAAGAAGAGCGTGAGTGCAAGGTTAAGAGTAACTGTCGCTGTCAGGAACAACAGCAGCGCGTAGAGACATCTTCTTCTCCAGCCCCTCAATCCTAATCTACATCCTCCTCCATCTTGTACTCTTTGATGATTATTGTTCGTTGTTGTGCTTGATTTTTCGGTGTTGATGACGTCATTTCTTTCTCTCCCTCTCTCACCGCTTCGTCTGTCCGTGCCTCTTTCTTCAACTTTTCGTCGTCGGTGTGGAGTGTTGATAACCGAGTCTATTTCGTCTCCAACAACGGCTTCTTCCATGATATTCAGTTATTTAGTTGACTCCCAAGTACACCTTTAATTTTGAAACGTACCTAAACTTTTTCACATTCGCTTTCTAGGGGCACAAATTCATTAGATGCATACAAATTTGCATGAACTATATTTTTTTCACTAATGTGTCAATAAAAAACTTCTGAAATGTGAAGGAAAAGATTTCATTCCTTTGCAGGCATAAGATCCATATGAATACAGCTTGAAATTTTTTCCGGTGCGTATAGTTCCTCTAAATTTCAAACAATTCAATTATAATAAATGGTAATTGGATTGCGGCATACCCCTATGATTGAAAATTTCTTCAAAATGAATAGTTGAACGACAACTTCTAATCGTTTCAGGATAGCATCTATCAGTCTGCACACATTTTCCAAATAATTATATCCATGTGACGCTGCTAGAGTGCGATCGTTTTTTCTGTTAAAGGATTTGTGCGGGTGAAATCTACATGTAAAGCTATTTTTTCGTTTAACGAATATGATAATCATCATTCGTAACTTTCGAAACCACGACGGCCATATCAATCATTGTTCTAGGAAGATGTGTTTGAACGTTTTTGTTTGATTTAAGTTTGATTCCTTTTTGTAAATACCAATTCATGGAGAAAGAACTTACATGAACTCAAACTCAATCGCAGAAATATGAGGATTTACTAATAATGTAGCTCAATACTTACACTCAACATAGTTTGTTTATTACTGCGTCCTACGTCAGGGCATTTACCTGTTATATAATGATAATAAAAAAATGATAAAAAATGATAAATAATAAAAAAAAATGATAATATAATAATGATAATAATTCTATGCAAGGAGAAATTACAATTCCATGAGGGAATTTAGAAATAGCTTGAAGGCATATTGAATATTTTCAATTTGTAAATATTAATATAAATCGTAATATTTTAGCAATAATGGTATTCATTTTATTTGGAATTAAATATAATTAAATATATAAATACAATATATTTCAAAATTTTCTAATAACCGTTAAAACGAGAATAATTATTATTATGAACCGTGGTTTTTGGTTTGGCATTCCAGCAAGACTGTGACATCATAATTCTGCTATATAAAACCTACGAAAGTTATTTCACCCGATAATCAGGCATTCCAGGCAAAAAAAATTCACCTTCCTAAATTTCTCCGAAAAAAATAAATTGCGTAAGAATTTTTTTACATATTTACCTCCGATAAAAAGTATAAATTACGTGAGGAATATCTTATATTTCACTTATATTATTCAATGAATTTGAGGAAAAAACCATTTGCTTTTCAGTCAGTTCCCAGAAGCTGCTGTTATTGTGTGCAACTTTTCAAATCATCAGGAGATTTTGTTTTCTTAAAGCTTACTTGGAATTATATTAGAAACTGAATATCAAACTATGTTTGATATCTCAAATTGCACTTCTTGCGATTTGAATGTTATTTTGTAACCCCTGTGCTATAAAATTCAATTTTTCAGTTGTGTAATTCATATTAAATATAATATGAAGATAATATAATATGAATATCTCTATATAATGTTCTTCATTATATAATTATTGATCCTAATTTTAGAGCAAAAATTTTGCGGAGCCCAATGCAATAGGCCGAAATTCAACCAGCCACCATCTTTTGGTTGAGAACGTTGTGAGCTAATGATGGTCTTAAAGATCTTCGTGGATTGGTTAATGAACATTAATGGATGTAAATGATCGAAGTGGACTCATGCCATTCATTGGTCTTTCTTTCTAGCAGTAATGAAGTAAAAAATTAGGAAGGGACCGAGAAATTGCCCATAAATAAAATCACAACATTTAAAAACTTGTCCATTATATGAAATGACAAAGTTATAGGGATTTATTGTTATCGGAAACCTTAATATTTTCAAGACTGAGATGCCATTTAACATATTTAAAAGATTAGAATAGTCCTAGAAAAATAAAATGCTCGGAAATTTTTAATTACAGAACTGGTTTCATTTTTAAGAAACAAGTAGAGAATATTTAGTTCTTTATTGCTTCGAAATCCTGGCAAAATATAGTTGTATCTAATTATATGATATTGAAACTAATTCATTTTGGTCGCAATTGAGACAAATTAAAAAATTTATGCTTAGTTTGCCTAATGGCCTCAATTACAATTTTAATTCGTGTATATATTTATATTTAATGAGTATGATCACGCAAACTGGTTCTCCTTCGCTTGAGTTTTTCGCTCCAAACCAGAGCAGTCGTAAATTAAGAAAAAACTCATCATCGTCTGTGATTCTTTATTTCTATATGTTAAATTCATTTGTATTTTCTTTAGTAAATGTGCTGTAAATTTTTAAATAAGTTTATATTCAGCGAGAGATCAAATTAACGGCTCGTTATTTACGTCCTGTGAATCTTTTTTGGGGATTTTTCTATACTTCCCTGAAGTCTTGCTATGAGACTTTTTTCCACCATCCGAAAAGGTCGGCAACAAAACGCCAATAAGCGCAGAAAAAAGCGACCCGATCAGGAATTTCCAATTGAGATGAAAGCCATCGGATCACCTCCAACCTGGGCTCTAAATATACCGGAACCTGCACCTGCGATCCAAATATCGGCGACGAACTCATTTCCGGCCACTCCAACGGACCCAAAACGGCAAAAATTTGGATACAAAACTTTGCGCTTGCAAGCTGCGTACTCCAAGAATCTGCCAAGTCATTTATGTATTTTGGGTTTCTCTGGCTACTTTGGAACGATTCTTGCTTCTTGGAATTCTAATCTTCTCTGCTTCAGTAGGATTTTTGTTTTGATGACTTTTGAAAAGACGATAAATGCAGTTTCATCACATACAACATATTTTGAGCCTAGGTTATTTCACGAACAGATTAATCATTTTTCACTTATGTAGTTTATGAGAATCAACCAAAGTGAACGAAGTAATTTCGTAATTTTCATGTTATTCTAACCTGTAATTTAAATTTAGATTAATTAGATTAAATGTAAATTTTATTCAGTTCCGATGAATTGGGATCACAGATTACTTAGGTATACAATCGATTTAAAATTCTACGTACTATGCAGATGGGTTCATAGTTATGAAGAATACAGTATATATTTGGGTGATTTCACAGAATTTTCTATTCTTCACTGTCATCTTTCCTTAAGATTCGGTTCATTACCTTACTCTTTTAATGAATTCAATTTCAATTCGACTTGTAAATCCGTTAAATTTTTAAATTGATGTATACATGAATATTTTTACGGTGCTTTCCGATAACAGCAGAAATAAGTATTTTAATATTTTCAACTTCTAACAAATTCTTTAATTTTAATTATACCTATAGAAATAATTGAAAATTAGTTTTCTCCCCATTAGGTTTTCTATCCTGTAGAGTGAGCGCCAAATGCACATAAGCGCTGTGTTCTCAATAAAAAAATAACAAGCTATTGTTTTACGAAAGCAAGTTGGAACAATTAACGTACAGTTGTGTAAAATACAAAATGCATTTATAAAACACCCAGTGCATGTTCCATGAGCTAAATGACAGCACTAAATTTATTTACACGAGTGAAAGAGAAACGTTGTCCCCCAGCAGCTCGTTAAGGATTTTGTATTCCTGTAATTACCATTACTAAGTCATCCATTGGTCAACTTAGGGGGAATGATTGGCCACTGAGCCCACTTCTATCAGTTGCTGAAAAATGTTATTCACAGTCAGTACGTTGTTCAAGAACTCGCCTTTGATCACTTGATTGCATTGTTATTTAAGCTGTTTGTCATTTGTTAATGTTTGAGGAAGAAGGAAAATAATTACTTCAAGATCAAACCTCCACATCAGCCTTGTTTTGATTTCATCGAAACGACTAATGTTTCGCCAACTAAATTTGAGCGTGAAGTCTAAACTGCATAACTTGGGGGAAGATTCGATAATTCAGTTCGCCAACGGCCGGAAAGTAAACGAGGAATAGCAATTTGACAAAAAATTAAAACCATTGTTCAATTAAATAATGAGATCGAGACAATCGAAAATTTTTAAATTTAAATTCTTGTACATGTATCAATGCCCACTACTTTAGGATTACCATATCTGTTTCGAGACCTTTCTTCAAGTTTCTTCCTTTGATCGCAGTTTACACACAATTTCTCTGAACGAAATAATTGAAGATTTTGAAGTTCTCCCTCTGTCCATCTGGCAGACTCACCTCAGGAGCGCAAGTTACCTGCGGTATTCGGGCACGTGTGAGGGATTTCGACTCGCCGTCGCTCACAAGTCTGACGAAAACTCCTTTTATTTTCAAGAAAACACTTCATGCTTATATAATTACTGCTAGGAATAACATAGATATTTCATAATTCGTTCAATCTTGATGAAATATTCAAAATAAATTTACAACTATGCGTAGCATCGTGGTTATTTGTACTCCGATAGTTTGCCGCGACTTGTAACTGAGCGGTCCTGAGTTCCCGAAGGAATTTCTAACGAACTGTGCCCAGCTCCACGGCCGACGCTACACTGGAAAATCTATCGTCGTAGGATGCCTTTTATATGTCAGCGGAGAGGCTGCTCGACAAGCTCATCCAGCAGCTACGCATGAGGAAACTTCTTGGCCATCATTGAAAACTTTGCGCATTTCAGGCCAAGTAAATGGAACATTTTCTTCACGAAGATCATATCGAGTTAAGGACTTTTGGGTGGCCTGGGTCTATGAATTCCTTGTTCATCTTTGAATAAGAAGTAAAACTTATGAATATTACAATGGACTAGATTTAAACGATGGATTATTCAGCGACCGTAGAATGTAAATTGAATTCTCGTAGTGATTTTGTATTTTCCTTGGACTTTCTGGTTCGTCTGTTTGACCGTTATTTGCGTCATTTATGTGTATTTTTAAGCAATTTGTTTTTATTAAAGGTAAATCTATTGAATCTATTAATTGGTTTAATTTATTTTCGGTAATGATTCTCCTTCGAAAGTTAAATAACGAGTTATGATGTCGTATCATCACATTTGCAGTCAAAGAAATG